AGTGTTGAAGGAAGAAATCTCTTTGGGGGATGACGTTGAATTTCCATTTGAAAAGAAATACTGATGCTCATTGGGGTTCTATCAATTCATTCAGTCTTCAGTCTTCAGTAATCATAAGCTCATTGTTTATTAATTTCGCGAAACCTGATTCTACAAGCTTATCTATGAAATTCGCTTCTAAGAGATAGTTATTAATGGTTCGAGCAGGCTTCCAATAAAAGAAACTTAAAATATAATTCCAAATCTTACTACTAGTCTTTACCAAGTTTTCTGGTTTCTTTGGAAGCTCATTTGTTTTTTTTTGCTGTTTGTAAGAATAGGTTGAAATGAAATAATCACATGTCGCACCATACTCGCTCATGTACAAATGTACGACAACACAGACAAATTCGAGGTTTGATTCATCACTTCCACCACGACAGACAAACATTCGAGTATCACCGTAAGGATTCATAACATCGTTGATATTGCTGATCATTTGACTGATGTTCTCCTTCAGTGCTGAATCTCTGCAGATTGTTTGAAATTCGGTCAAATTCGTAATCAACGCTCTAGGTCTAACTTTCCTAGAATTTTTGACATAGATAGTGTCTTCTACTGTATTTCCTCGATGTTCGATGCTATTGTACGTCTGCAGAGCTCTGCCCGAGATTCCTTTAATAAGAAATTCTTCCAAGCGTCGATCACCTCTGTTGTATACGGGTTCAACTTGATTTCCTTCACTGTTTCCATAGTTGTAAGAAACTTTCGTTGGTCCATCAGCTTTGTTATATGCTGGTTGAGCTAGTGTTTCAGCAAATATTGCGTTTGATGGTTGAGAAGACATAGTGGACGATGAGTGAATGTGAGTGATGAAGTGATAAACTGAAAAATTCTTTGATTAGAAGTATGTTGAAGAAGAGAATATACAGAATGGATATGATTCAAATGAGAAAGTGGAACTAAAAAGAGGGAACAAGAATGAAATTGAATCTTGAATGTTTCACAAAAAAGATTATCAAAAGATAATCGCATATTAAAGGCTATTTGCTTTGTCAGCAAACTCTTATCTAACAAGTTAACACCTCTCTGAAATCACATCAATATTGAGGGAAAATCTTCTGATAACAATTTGCTTAGAAAACAAATGTAATTTACTGATAATGGTCAGACAAACTGATATCTTTTTACTCATTTTTCCTCACCTCTCACTCTTCTCATTTTGCTCCCTCTAGCATATGCTAACTATATGTCTTCATATTCATTTCATATATGCCCATCTTGAACATACTTTTAATAAACATTTCTTTTTCAGTTTATCACTTCATCACTCACATGTTTCCAACTTCCTCTCTTGAAGTGAATCAACCAGACCCAACGTTTTCTAGAAGTCTGTTATATTTCGAAAATATAATTAGACAACAAAGACTGCTTGTAGCAGATTACTCCCCAAATGATGAAACTCAAACGGACGATGATTCCAATAACGGAAACAGTTCAACAGATCAAACAGGCCATGAGAAAGTTTCTGAACGGAAGGACAAAGTTCTTATTCAAGGAATCAAAGAAAGTGTTATGAAACACTTCAAGGAAAATCAATATCAAGGATATGTAAACGAAACCAAGCTTTTAATAAAAAGTAGTTCTAAAGTTAAACCAGCATCCTTGATCAACAACTTGGTATCACTTAAGTCACTGTGCAAGTCTGAGGAACTGAAAAGTAGTATCGGTGGATTGATTTTCGACATCATGAATATGTATATGGACGGTGGTGCTCGAATGTTCACAACTCACAATCATGGATCTGGAACAAATCTTGAATTCATCTGTGTTGCTGTATACAAATATGAGATAAATGGACAAGAAGCCTGTGATTTTTTACTTTCTCGCTATTCTCAAGTACGACAATCAAGAATTGGAATACTTAGCTTCTTTCAAAGACAGTGTAGTCCTGACGAGCTGAAAGATATGGTAGAAGCGAGTTTTATAAAAGAGCTCGTAGAACGAAATTTCGCGAAATTGGAAAATAGTCAGTTGTATATGATTACTGAAGACTGAATGAATTGATAGAACCCCAATGAGCATCAGTATTTCTTTTCAAATGAGAATTCAACGTCATCCCCCAAAGAGATTTCTTCCTTCAACACTTCTTCTCTCCATCCTC